CCCCCAAAAAAAAAAAAAAAAAAAAAAAAAAAAATATATATATATATTATTAAGGAGTCAGGTCTCAGATCGAGTGTGTGTTGAATAGTTGTGTGACTTTATTTAACCTTTAAAACCTAATTTTTTTCACCTGTAAAATGGGGAAAATCTTGGTGGGGAGATTAAATAAGGGCAAACATGAAAAGTGCTGAGGGAGATGTTTGACACATGGTATCTTTAGATAAGAACAGTGTCTTGAAATGAGAGGTGGGGGGTTGGGTGGGGAAAAACGGTAGTATTCACCTGACCAAAACATTTTTGGTGCTATAAATAAAAATTAGTCATTTTATATTATTGTCACACTACACAGAGTAAAGGAATTATATAATAAGGAACAGATGACAAACCTCTGTACACCTGGTGGACTAATTTGGAATTTCTATAGCCATGACAATTTAAATCCATCTCCATCCTTGTCTTGCCTAATGAACTCCTTATAAAAACACATTTATTATAATAAATTAATAGCAATTATTCTTTCTAATTTCATTTGCAGCTCCATTCATCTTTTTCAATTTAATGTAAGTTTCTGTGTTTCATAGAGGACTCATTTACACATTTCAAAGTAATATTAAGGAATTGTTGGTAGGAAGAATTTCTTGAAATAATAACGATACCTTCTGTGGTCTGATGAAGTACTGGAGTCAAAAGATCTTGATATTCTTTTACTTGTTTGGGATTGCCTCTAAAAACTCCTAAAATGTAAAATACAAAATCCAACAGCAGCTAAGCTGAATAAGCATTTATAAAAGTTTTATGTCTGGAAAAAAAATCAATTAACCTAGTTATAAAAATTTCAGGTATTTTCTATGTAAGTGATAAAAATAAAATTGAAAAAAGTTATGCATATATGTATATTTTCCCAAGAAATTGATCTTAGAAAGTCATATGAGCATTTAGAATTGAAAACTGAATTTTGATTGAAATTTCTCTAAATTACAAATGTTATAGATATTTACATTGTCATGGATTATAGTATTCATGATTTCTATTAATAAAAAATTTCTCTTTGTAAATATGAATAATATATTAGGACCATTTTTAAATATTTCAAAGTATTTTTTAAAGTCTTTAAATTATTTAACATTTCATCAGAAAGCAGAAGAGCAGCATATAAAAATGTAGAGCAGTGAACATCACTGAAGAATATTCTAT